TTTTGTAACGGGAATCAACATCATCAGATGATGGCTTGAGCGGGAGTACGTTGGCTCCTGGAGAGCGGTGGGGGGCTGCCGGACAGCTAAACGGCTAATGGAGCAACCATCGCCGGGGAGAGCCGACGAGCTCCTGGCCATGAACAGACTAAGGCTGAAGGTGGAATTGGGTGTTCTCACGGGACACATCACACTGAGGAGCCATCTAAACAAACTTGGGCTTACGGAACAAAGCGACTGCCGCCTATGTGGTGAGGAGAGAGAGGACAGCGCCCACATTTTATGTCGGTGTCCTGTACTCATATGTAAAAGGTATAGATCCTGGGGCTGCATGTTCATGGAGCCTGAGGATCTAAACGAAAAAAGGGTTAGCAGCTTGATTAACCTGGCGTCAGATACTAGGCTGGGCTTATTAGCGCAATCCTAAAAAAAAAAAAAAGCAGGAAGTCACAATGGAACTTTTAGATCTAGGTGACGCAAGGGCATCAAAGTGCCCACCTGCTCCACCACTACTACTACTACTACTACTAAATATGAACGGTTAACAGCTCGAATATTTAATAAAGTAAAAAAACAGAAAAGCTGTAGTCTTTTATTTGATTTATGGTTTTATCACATTAGTTTGAATGCACTCTACTTTAAAGTTTAGATATTTATAACTTTTGATAGAAGCATTTTTCAAAGAAATGTTCCAACAAAAATTACTTGTTTTTTCTCCGTAGAATCTAAATATGTAACATTTAAAAAATTACGAAATTACGTCCCACTCCCTTTCAAAGGGGAGCGGAAGCAAAATTTTGTTTACATAGTTAAAATTTCATATATTCGAGAGTGAATACATGAAATTTTTTTATAAACAACTTTTTGATACAGCAAATATTTTTAGAATTTTAGGGTTACAGCAAATATTTTCAAAATTTTGTTACACTTTACATGAATTATTCTGTATGATAAAGAAATTATATATCATAAAATATAGATTAAACGTTAAAAGTACATATTACGCAGAAAAGTAATATTGAATTTATTAATACAATATGTGCGATAACAAATGCCTTAACTTAAGATATATATGATATAGCTGTTTTTTTAAGTTCCAAACATAATTGCAACATGAGATTGCAAATACATAAAACTTCAGATTTCGTGTAAAGTATATTATGTTACTTATTATTAAACATTAATTATACAAATGCTAAGGCTTATATGGTCTAATAAGATTTTCTGAAAATTCTCTAACTTGTGCAACACCGCGCACTTCTCTCTCCAATAAAGGAAGCCGTGTAACGTGGAAGTCCTCGTAAAGATCCATTATCTTAAAAAGAAAAGTATTTTATTAATTTATTCCAGAAGATACTCTCTCTTTCTTTCATCTTATAAATATAAGATATCAACTTTGCTGCATTTAATAAAACTACAAATTATACAAGACATTATTGTAGCTTACATTGCAAATATATTACTTACATTATTAAAAATTATAAATTAGTTACCTGGTCTAAATACTTATTTTGTATTTTGTGTCTGGCAAGACAAAGCCGACAAGGAATGTCTCCATCTTTTAAAAACAACAATTGGTTTACTATAATGTTATGGGTATCGATACCATATTTTGTTAATTCTTGTACAAGTCGTTCTGTTTCGTAGAGAGATAAAAATTCTGCTATGCAGACACATATAAAAGTTGTCTGATCAGGATTTCGAAATTGTTCATTAACTTGTCGAATAATAGCAAGCATTTCCTCCATTTTATTCGAGAATGTATCCACATTGAAATCTGTCATTCCCAACAATGAACTTATCTACAAAATAAAGTCTGTTTATTCATATTTTAAATTAATCAATGAACACATGCTATGCTAATATTTTACGAATAATTTAAAGACCTAAAGTTAACTTTATGTATTAAACGTGTTTAATTTCATGCCAGCTATTAGTGACTACCACTATGTCGCACTGATATAACACTGATATAAAACTGATATAAAATTAATAATAATTAATATAGACATTATAAAACTCAGGCAAACCAAATACGAATATAGAAGAATGAAATAATAAATATAAGGATGAATTAAGATTGAATCGTATAATAAAAATGCTTTTTACATGCCTCACAAAAATTAGAGAATCACCTGATTTTTTTTTAAGCTAGATAAGATTCAAATAACTGAAACTTCATTGAAAATAATCTAAATTAAAAAGAAATTATTTTAAATCTTGAGATCTTTATTTTCGAAAAGTCATAGGTAGTTTTGACTTTCTTTAATTATAGCTATATTAACATACAGAAAATAACGAAGCGGAAATGGGAAATTTTTATGTCACTTTGTGAGCATGTTACATGCCAAAAAAGTCTAAGAAACTTTTTCGAATTTATAAAAATTTTAAAAAATTTCTGTAAATTTTTTGTATCCAAATTGTCGAGAGTTAATGAAAAAATAGGCAATTCAATTTTAATTTCTCATTACTTCCTTAAAATTTATCGTACAGCAATTTCTAAATTAGACTGTTAAAGTTAACGCTTTCAAATAGCATATTTGCCGTTTTTTCTTTTTTAAAGTTTTGTAGACATGTTACAAATGGATAAACGTAAAAATTCGCGACTTCTCACTTTTTCATTTAGACCTAGAAAAAAAATTATATAAAACAAAATCTTTTATTTTTACATTTTTTTGAATCTCGAAATCGAAAAAAATTGCCGAAAGCTGTGATATCTTTTATGGTAACCACTTTATGGTGTAAACGATATGTAAACGATATGTAAACGATATGTAAACGGAAAACTGTGAAATTGTTTAATTTCAGTAAAGAAAAGGACAAAATAAGCAAAATTTAGTTTTTTAAATTTTATTAAAAAGTATTTCTTTATGTATATATCCTCTAATTTATAATATTACTTAATGACCATTCAGTTATTAAGTCTGTATTGTTCAATAATTAAGAAATTTATTTTTCAATTATTAGTACAATTGGCATTATCTAATACATCTCATTATATAAAATTATAATTGATATTTATTGATTATTTTATTTCTTATTATTTTCCGATCGCTGACAAACCATGATTTTATATAAACGTTAATCTTCTTTATAATTTCATTAATTACTATTAATAATAATGTATAATTATTAATAAAAATTATTAATAATTATTAATAAAAACGTTACATTAATCGTGTTTTTCTTGTTTAGTTATTAAGACGTTTATCTTATTTCTTCCGTTATTATTTCAGTATGTTCTACTTTAAAAATAATTAAAAAGTATTTTATTTTAGAGAAAAAAGGGCAATTTTTTACATTTTTTCCAATATTTATAATCTCAAGAATGTAGAAACTTAATCGTTGAAACTATTTGGCAGAATTTAAACAGTGTATTGATATTTTACAAATTCAATGCATTCAATATAAGATTGTGCGCAGATAAAAAATATAGTGCTTAGGTGTATTATAGGTGTTTTTAGTACTTGTTTCAATCGAAATTAATCTTTTTTGGAGTTAAATTCTTCTTGAATAATATATCCAACACATTTTTTTTGTTATTCATTTATTTGTTAAGTTAAGAATGTCTTACTGAATCTCATAAGAAGCAATCGCGCAATAAACGGAAACAGTGGATCGATAAGGTTTTAAAGACGTCTGAGAACACTTACAAAAAACAAAAAACGAAGTTTTCACAGTAAATCAATATACTGCAAAAATTGATACGAACTACGCTTTTGCAAAAAAATTACAAAGAATGGAAAGAAGTTGTTATCCATCAATATGATTACTATATTCTTAATTTTTTACGATTTTCTTAGCAATAAGTGCGATAGTTATTTGCTGTAAGTGCAAAGTAATATACTGTTTAATAAAACAAACACCAGAGACCTCGGAACTACAACCCCTATTTAAAAGATCCAGCTTCCATAGCTTTCACCATGACATATATCATGAAGGTCTAAACACCTTTCAACAAGTTTTAGCTCGTTGTTTGTTAAAGTTATTAACAAAAAATTTGTATAAATAGAATGTAATTTTTACACACTGTATACTGAAACATGAGTGATACAATGTATACTGAAATATTGTAAATATTGGTTGGTAACAACTTAGTTCGGTCCGTTTTCAAAAGATGGCTCTAGGTACTATAAATGGTTGACGGCGACAGCTGATTTTTGCTGTATCGTGAAGTGTCAACATCTGTCAACCAAATATTGTTTACAAGCCTTTGAATTTTGCACAACAAGTTTAATTTTTACTGCATTGAAAATGTCGAGTTTCGTTCCAAATAAGCACCATTTGCGGGAAGTTTTGATTTTCTGTTTCAATT